TAGAAAGTGCTTGCCACGCTGGGCAGGGTATGATGGGTCAATAAATCGTGGAGGGGCCAGCACCCAAAACATGGAGCCCTCAGAGTGGGGGTAGGGGATGGTGTCAGAGCGTCTAGGCTGAAATGAACAACATGCAGTTTTAAAAGTTGGGGTAAAACACACAAAACATGAACTTTGCCATTTTAACTATTTTTCAGTGTACAGTTCAGTGGCATTAAGTACAACATTCACCTTATTGTGAAGCCGTCACCACCATCCATCTCCAGAACTTTTTCATCATCCCAAGACGAAACCTGTCCACACTACACACAAACCCCCATCCCCACTCCCCCAGCCCCTGGCGGCCCCTGTTCTACTTTCTGTCTTTGAGTCTGCAACTGGAGGCACCTCATTGCCCCACTGCACTGCCCTCTTGGTCCCTCGATTTCCCAGTTGATCATAGGCAATTGGGATCCTGAAAGGTTTGGGCTGGGGAGGGTCTCTGGGGATGGGGACTGAACAGACTCCTGGGGCCTGCAGGGGAGCAGGCCCATCCTGAGGCTGTCTGTACCCCTCCGCAGGGTCACTGGACACCCACCGAACCCCAGCCCGGGCCCTGAATGAGACCCAGAGGGCACTGGAGCACCTGAGGCTGCGGCTAGGCCCACCGGGGGCCCTGCAGGGGAAACTGAGGCTCTTGGAGCAGGAGTCGGAGCAGCAGGAGCTGCAGATCCAGAGCTTTGAGAGCGACCTTGCGGAGATCCGCGCTGACAAGCAGAATTTGGAGGCCATTCTGCACAGCCTGCCCGATAGCTGTGCCAGCTGGCAGTGAGGGCTGCCCAGACCCCACTGTGCCCCCGGCCCAGGGCAGCATATACCCCCAGAGGTGTGCCACACAAGTGCACTCACCAGAGCTTGCTGCCGCACACCCGCACACTCACATGCCTTTCCCAGTCTGTGCCCACATCCCCTCCACACCGGCAGAAGTGAGTGTGCAATCACAGCTCACCCAGGCGGCTACGGTGTGTGCTCCCACCCCACACACACGTAAATGTGCACTCCCCAGGGTCAGCAACATGTACACGCATGCACAGGCACAAGTTACGGACATATGCCTGTGTGTGTGGTACACATCTGTACAAGTCCCTTCATGCACGCACATGGAAGCAAAACCATTTCTCAAGGGACCACTGTGTGTTGCACCCTCTCTGGATGCAGGGGGCGTATGATCTGTTAAATAACCTTATGCTACTAACAGACCCACTTGCTCCTGAAAGCAGAGACCCAGGCAGGGTTGGTACCTGGGAGGCTGAGCAGGGCCATCTGCAGAGATCCAGGGTGGATTCAACAAGAACCAGAGCCCCCAGTCCCAGATCTGCCCTCAGTCCTGCAGCTCCCAGACCTGTCTGTCACCCACCACAAACACAGCAGCTCTGCACAGCTGAGGGACCAGGCAGGTCAAAAGACACAAGATCCTGGTGGGGATTGGCAGGTGGGATCTCAGCAGAAAAATGCAAGGCTCAGGACTCCTGGGGCCACAGTGCAGCCTGCTAGGCTGGCCAGGGCATGGCCCCCCGCTGCAGGGTTGTCACTGGCTTCGTGGAAGACTCGAACCTCAGGATCCTGGGACTCAGCCAGACTCACTGAAGGCATTGTCTGCCCTGGGCCCAGGGCTCCTTTCAACCTAGAACCTGTCCAAAAAGCCAGGCCTCGTGGCCCAAGGGGACATAGGTCAGGGGGCTCAGAAAGGTCACTTGGATCTTCCCTTTGTGACCCTGCCAACCCTGGTTAGCCTTTGACCGATTGACGCTTCCCAAACTGGCTCTGCAGCCCTGTGGCCCCACCTGCCAAGAGGGAGGCCCCTGCTGGGCATGAAGGCCTGGCTGCCTTTCTAGTCTGTCATGCCGGGGAATCCCCTGTGGCCAGGCCCCCGCTGGCCCCTGCCCAGGATCCCCCAGCAGCCCCTCCTGGCCCACCTCCCCTTTCCTGGGCCCTCTTCCAGCAGACAGCAGGACCTTGGCACTGGGAGGATGGGCGCCTCTAGGAGCCCAGCGCCTTCCTACCAGTCTTCCTGACCCTGCCAGGAGGGACGGGCAGCAGCACAGACCAATTCTGTTTAACGTGGAAATAAAGGACCCCATTTACTAGCTGGGTGGCGTGCCTTTGGTCCTCCCGTGCTGGCCGGCAGCAGGAGCCCTGGCTGTGGGTGCAGACGCACCACCCTGGCCTGTGGGTGTACTCAGTCAGCACCCAGTGATTTGGTGGCAGAGCTCCAGTGATCCCTCTTGGTGCACTTGAGGTGGCAGGTCACAGGACCCCAACTGAGCCCCCTGGCTTTGCCAGTGTCTTCCCATTGCGGGGAGCTCTGCTGGGGTCCTGTGACCACAGGCACCTGCCCTCTCTCCTCTGCTCCAGGAGGCTTATCAGGCAAAGTCTAGGGGCTGGAGGAGCTTGAGGGGTAGGTACCTCTGGCTCAGGCTGGAGACACTGAGGCAGAAAAGGAACTCAAAACCAGTGTCCAGCAGCACAGAAAGGCTCGGGGAGGGACACCAGTGAGGAGAGGGGGAGAACGAGGAGGGCTTTGGGCCAGGCCTCAAAGGATGGGGAGACAGCAGAAAACATTCCAGGCAAGAGGTGGGCAACAGCCCAGGGTTTGCAGGGTGGGGACCTGGCCCACACAGGTCACTGCGGGAAGCCAGGTTGCAGGGGCGGGATGATGGCACATGCTCGATCCAGGCTCTTGACCAGGAGGCCGTGTTGGTTTAAACAGAAACGGGGAGTTCGTTGGGAGGACTTGGGAGAGTGTCCTGGAATCCTGGGGTAGGAAGGACTGCCAAGCCTCGGAGACAGCCGGGGGCCGGGGGCTCCCTTCCCTCACCCCCTCCTCTCTCCTGGGTCTCTGCCTCTGCTCTCTCCTTGTCTGCTCAGTTATTTTCTTTCTGCAGGACAGCTGGCTTTGCTTTTCCTGTGCTTGATGGAAGAGGGTGCCCCCACTGCCCTCACCCTGACCCACCACGGCCCCCATGTTTACTTGTTATCAGGTCAAATGCTTGGCAGAGACAAGCTAGAAACTATCCCGATCAGCTTGGCAGGAGAGACTAACCCAGCTTAGGCCAGGTCCCCCTACTCCTGTTCAGAATAATGAGGGTCTCTAGGCCCAAGGCCATATAATGAGAGCTGGGCTGTGCCCCGTCCCCAGTCCCCCACCCCACCCCACCAACCTGCTGGGGAGAACATTGACAAGAGGTGCGCTCCTTCACAGAGAAACCAAAAACTGACGCCAGAGGTGGTGGGGTGAGGGGTGATGTGGTGCAGATCAATGACCTGGGAAGGACCTGGTAGATTTGGGAAGGAAGACAGGGGGCAGGGAGAGCAAAACAGGAGGTTGTTGCTCTACAGTGAGTTTGATGATTGATGTCTGGTGTAAGTGGTACCAATGGGGGTCCTTTGAAGACCTCTGGGACAGGGTCTGATGTCCCCCAGCCCCACTTCCCTGCCACCTAGCGTCTCTGCTGACGCAGGCACACAGCAGGTCTGATGCCTGCTCTTGGCATTGAAACTATCTGTTCAATCTGTGGGGGGGCTCAGCAAAGCCCAGTCCCAGCATCCCCAATGGGTGGAGAACAGGCTTGCTCTCTGTTCCCAGTGACGTACCTCAGGCCTGACGTCTCATGACTCATACAATCCTGTCATGCCTGGCGTGTGGGGAGTCACTCTCTGTCCCCAGAGGTGGGACTGTGGCTGGGTGGAATGTGGCAGCTGCTGAACATCTGGTTAGTAATGCAGCCCAGCAGCTAAGCAGAGGAAGGTGGGGTGGCCTCTGCCTTGCAGAACCACTGACTGGGGCCAACCAGTCAGGGCAACGGGCCATCTGAGCCTAGACCAGGAAGTGCATTATGAGGGCCCTGTTCTAAGTCAGCTCTCTTCTCTGGCCTCCAGATGGAACATCTCTCATCAACCAAGGGTTATAACTCCTATCTGCCTAAACCACCCTGACAGTAATAAAATTTACAACAGCCCCTGCTGAGTGAGAAGCACTTGTCTCCCCCATTCTGCAGACCTGGAAGATTAAAGCTCAGACAGGTCAAGTGCCTTGCCCGAGATCACACAGCTTGGCCATATCCAAACTCTAGCAAGGGGTGTGGATAGGAATAGGAGAGTAGCTGGCTGTGCTGGGGAGGTAGGGCCTGCCCCCTGGCAAACTGCTGCTCTGGCATTAGCCCTCTGTCTACTCCTCTACCTTGGGGCAGCCTGGCCTCTTCCCTCCCCGGGGGCAGTTACAGAAAAAAAAAGAGAACCAGTTGGTCTCAAGCTCGCAGTCCTAGGGGTCAAGAAGGAGGCAAGCCTGTGGGAAGGGGACTTCCTGGATGCAATCCCCAGGGACTCAGTTTATGTGTGGGTATTGGGGGGGTGGGGGGGCTATTACTAGTGACCAGGTGTGCCCAGGATAGTCCCCGTCCGTGCCTGTGACCCCAGCATAACTATTAGAAGTGCCGCCCGTCATTCTCAGTAATGTCCTGATTTGGACAAGTCCGCAGTCTCTGCACCCTGGGCCACACTATTCCTGGAGTTAGAGTCTTGGTTTATCATCCCAGTGGACCTGTATGCCACGCGTCAACTTTCTGACTTTTCCGTGAAATGGAAATGCTGAATCCTCTTTCACAGAGTGTTGAGAATTAAATGGTATAATGCATATATCCTGTGTCAACCTGGCAAAGTTGGTGCAGTCTGTGAGTGCCCAAGAGATAGGGTTTATTAACGAAATAGTAACTCGCTCTAACTGATTTCAAGTGTCACTGAGAGCTTCGTGGTAGTTTGTCACTATGTGTTTTCTTAACAAAAACTTAAAGCTTTTCAAGAATTAAGAATAAAAGTTGGGAACGTAGGCCTTCCTTCTAAAAGTGCGTCCTGCGCAGAGGCTGTAGTAACGTCTACAGCCCGGGTTGGTTGAGCGCTTACTCCCTGCGGCTGGGACCCGCGTTTGATCCTTACAGCCGCCCCACGAAGCGCGTACGAAGGTTGTCCCCGTTCTGGTTATGGGGAAACCGCAGCGCCGAGCGGGAAGGGGCTCGTCGAGGTCCCAGCGGGAGCGGAGAGGGAGGTGCTCACGGGCGGCCCCCGCGCTGTGCATTCTCCGCGTCCTCCAGCAGAGGGGCCGGCCCGCGGGGCTCGGCGTCCCGCATAATAGCCGCTTTGATGCCTGCGGCCGGCCGGCGGGGAGGGGAGGGGAGGCGGGCCGGGAGGGGAGGGGAGGGAGGGAGGGAGGGGAGTGTCCGGCCGCCCGCGCCATTCCCCCGCCCCTCGGTCCCGCCGCCACACGCCGCGGGAGCTCGGACCAGGCGCCCGTCCCTCCTCCTCGTCCCTCGCCGAGGCCGCGAAGCCCCGAGCCGGCGGGAGCCCGGTGCTCACCATGTCGGTCGCGCTCAGCAACAGGTTCCAAGGTAGGCGCCGCTGTCTCCCCGTTGTCCCGCGCCCCTGCTCCGCCCCACTGTCCCGCTGTCCCTCGCCCCTCGGCCCCCGCCCGGTGTCCCCCACCCGCCACCTGCGCGCACGGGGCGGTCGGTGGGGTCTGCGGGAAGCGGGCGAGGGCCGATGGCGCGCGGCCCGGGGAGACCCCCGCTTCCCGGGCCGCCTCTTTGTCTCCTCCAGGAGGGAAAGCGTTCGGCTTGCTTAAAGCCCGGCAGGAGAGGCGGCTGGCGGAGATCAACCGGGTAAGCGCGCGCCTCCACCTTCGCTTTTCCAGCCCCGCCGCCGCCGAGGGCAGCTTGCGAATCGCCCCCAAAGCTCCCAGCGCCCCGCGGGTCCCACCTCCGTCTGTGAGGCTGTGCCTGCCACAAAATCAACCCCCCTTCCTCTCCTTCACCCGGGCTTCCCCCAATTTCCTCCCTCCAGCCCTGTTTCTGTGCCTCCGACTCCAGGTAGGTCCCCCTCCACCCTCTCCACCGCCCTCTAGTCTCGGGTTGCAAGTTGTTACTCTCAGACTAGAGAGGTAGGGCCCTCCCAGGAGCGCTGATGCCTGCCGAGCCTGCCCCCGGGCTCCCCCGAAGCCCGCCCAAGACCTGCTACAACAACTTGGAGCTGGAAAAGACCCCTGATGGCTCCAGGGAGTCCCCAGTTTTACAGTGAAGGAGAGAGGGAGGGAAGAGAGGCCCAGAGAGGTGAGGTGGCTGTCCCGAGATGGCACAGCAAGTCCAGATCAGGCTGCTGTTGGAACCTGGGGCAGTGTTGGCCTCCTGCCTGACCCCCACTCCCATCCCCACAACTCCTCACTCCAGCTTTTAGGAAAGGTTGCCTTAGAGACTTGGTGCTTTGCTTGCTTAGTCCTAGTGGATCTCCATAGAGAAATCCTGCCAGCTCTTGCCAGGCATACGACGGGACCTTATAGACCTTTGCTTAAAGACCATTTAAATTCTAGAAGATAAGGACAAGTGTCAGGGCCTGCTTGGATTGGCCAAAACTCCAAGGCAGCACAGCAAGACCCAGACTCGGATCTGGTCTCCATCGTGTTCCGGCTCTGTGGGCTTTAGCAACGACCCCTGTCACAGAGCCAGGGTCACCATGAGGGCGGAGTGAGGGAAGGCATGTAGTTAGCGCACTTGGTCCAGCACCCAGCCTGAGAGAAGACCTCCATGGATGGTTCTCAGATTACTTCCTGAGGAGGATGTCTCCAGGTTCCCTCCTAACTGGTTGCAGAGGCATGCCCACTGAACCAAGGCTGGACATTCCCCCTGCTGGTTCCGCCGGGCTACTGGGCACCTGGGATCTGATCCCAGTTCAGAGTCCCAAAGTGGAAAGCTGGTGAGCATCAGCAGAGTCCTGGTGGGGGCTGTGTGGAGGTGGATCCAACCGCTGCCACATGGTAGTAGGTCTGATATCTTGCCAGGGGCTGGCAGTCTTGATTCCCTCCTTGATTTTCTTGGACTAGGCAGCCTGATTTCACTACACTGGCCGTAGGGATCCCATGGAGGTCTCTGGGGACCCCAGGGTCCCACCAGGTAAACTCCAGCCCCCTCATCACCATCCTCACCTTGCTTCTTGTTGCCGTCTAGAGCACAGCTGAAACGGAGCCTGGACGTCTGGCTGGGGCTCTCAGGGGTCCGGGCTGCTGGGCTCCCTCCCAGTTCTCTCTGCAGCTAGCCCAGCCTCGGCCTTGGCTGCTCTTGCCCTCTGGACAGGAGCCTGGAACCCTGACCTCATACAGCCCCCTGGGCCACTCAGCCTGGCAGGTTCCAAGCCAGTTGAATCCACCCACAGCCAGAGGACCCTGAGCCAGAGACAGCTGGAGATGGCGGAAAAGTGACTGTAGTTGGACAAACCAGGGAAGCTGAGGGTGTGTGGGACTTTCTATGCCAACCCTGCCCTTTATGTGGGGTGGCGGGGGGAGTAGATGGGGACAGGAGGGGGGCTACAGGGTTGTTTTGGGAGGTGTACTGGCTTGGCTCAGAAAGGGGAGGGGCTGTGCCTCTCAGGGACTGATCTGGATAGCACTGGAATTGGGGAAAGTGAACAAAAAGGGGCTGTGTCTAATCACCTCAGGACCCCAGTGCCCAGGGAGGGCAAGCAACTGGCCAAGGCCACACAGAAGCCAGTGGCAGAGCTTCCAGTCTAGTGTCCTTTCTCTGCCTGGGTGCTATTCTGAGATCCACTGTGTGAGATGGGCTGCTGGGACCCAGGCTTTGGGCCCCTGGAGGAAGGAGTCTCCAGGATCAAACCGGAAGCTTGCTGCTTCCCACCACAGTGGGTCAAGATGGCCCCACTATGGTTTAGAGTCACGGAGCAGGGTGGGGGGGGCATGCTCACTGGCTCTGTGACCTTGGGCAAGCCACTTGAGGTCATGGGAGGAGGTCTGTTGTGATTTTCCAGCTGAAATAATCTATGTAAAGCACACAGGAGAGCTGGCTTCTGTCCTGATTGTTATCATCGGTTTGTTTGGGTCTTAAAGGTGCAGGAGTAGAAACCTAGGAGCAAGGTCTGAGATATGCTGGCTGTTCAGCCTGGACCAGACCCCCTCATCTGGCAGAATCATAGAGTTGGTGGAGACGAACAGATTAAAACTCCTTGCAGACTCTGAGGGAGTCACTGTGTTAGGGGTCTGAGTTAGTTTCATCCATGGCTATGGTCATAGCGGAAGTTCCCTGGGGTGAGTGAATTCTAAAAGCAACCGTGTTGGCAGCCCAGACTGCCTGCCTTTGGGGTGCAGCTTCACTGCCCCACTGGAGCGGGGCTTTTGTGGGGCTGGGCTGAGCAGCTGCCCAGTGGCCCTGGGGAAGCCAGAAGGCGTGGAGGATGGGGCTTTAAGACTCACTCACTGCATGTGCTTGGGCATCACTGTGGGTGATTACTGGGGACAGAGCTATCAGGCCTGGGGGCTTCTCTGGGCCAACACCCCAGTTCCCTCTGTGGCCCTTCTCCCCCGCTGGGGTGGGCCAGCTTCCAAAGGGCAGTAGGGTAGTTCAGTCTTGGCCGTTGTTAGTGTAAGGGATTCAGGAGTAAAAGGAGGAGACCTGGGTGGGCCTAGAGGTCCAGGTGGAGCTGTATGAAAATGCACTTTTTGTAGTTTCACTCTAGTTTTAGCTGTCATTTTCTGAGCACTCGGCATGTGCCAGGCAGTGTGCGAGGTGTGCCTCGAACATTATCTTATTGGATGCTCACTCCAACCCTGTGAAGTTCTGTCTATTCCCATTTTACAGAAAATGAGACTCAGAGGGGTTTAAACAGCCACATTGGAACCCAGCCTCTTCTCTCAATCTCTGAGCTTGATTGGTCTCCTCTATGGACGCCCAGCCCACCTCTGGGCCGTGTGTGTGTATGTGTGTGCGTGTGTGTGCGCACGTGTGTGTCCATGTGCGCATGCGCATTCTCGGCACTACTGGAGCAGGCAGGACCAGCGCACGCCTCCTACTCCCCCCACATAGCTGACATTCCCCGTGCCCCGATGGCATGGCAGGTGACCCTGGGGCCAGCCAGACCCGGCCTTATATGGCAGTGGGACAAATTCTCTCCAGCTTCCTACAGGGACAGAGGGAAGCTGTGGGGCTGGGTGGGTGCCCCTGAGAGTGCCCCTACCCTTGGGATGGAGCCGGGAGGATGGTGAGAGCTGCAGCTTGAGCTGGCCAGAGGCCAGGATCTTTAACAAAATAACGTGAGTCGCTCTTTGCTCCAGGCCTGATGTTTGACGTACATCATCTCACTGACTCCTCTCAGTGGAACGCTGATCAGATGCACGGCAAGAATCTGTAAACATCCCCGTGGGACAAGGAGTAGCAGGCCTCCCATTTTAGAGATGAGGAAACAGAGGCTCAGCCAGGTGAAGTCACCCATCCAAAGTCACACAGCCAGGAAGTGGCAGAGCCAGGATTCGGTCTCCAGATGCTGCCCAGGGCCTGCCCTGGCCCCTGTCCACCAGGTAGCCATGGCCTAGCTGTGACACCAGCCTCTCTTGCTTATGTGGATAAGGATCTCTGGCTCCAGTCCTGCCTTCTCGGCCCTCCTGGGTCGAATGAAGGACACTCAGCATTTCCTGTAGCATTTCAGTGCCTGATGGTTATTTCAGGATCCATGTGCCATCTGTGCTGGGAAGAACTGGGCCTGGCAGCCTGGGTATCTCTGTGCAGGGCTGGGGGTACCCTGCCCAGCAGTGGGGGGCCTCTGAGACCTGACCCAGGCAGAAAACAGTTGTGTCTCTTTTCCTGTGTCCTGGCAGTGCCACCCTGTCCCTGCCCAGGTGAATGTGCCCAGCTGGCATCGCCGGGCACCCGTCTCTCTTGCTCTTCCTTAATATATTATAAGGGAGATGGTGATAACAGCCACGTGAGCCTCCGAGGATTCAGTGTCCCTGCAGGTCCAGCCAGTCTCGACCTCGGTGTGGCCATGTCACAGGAAGCTGGAGATGGAATTTCTGCAGGGTCTGCTTCATTTGTGTAGTTGGTGGGATGTTTTCCTTTGGCTGCCCCATCTATTGGCGAGGAAGCAGCGTCTGGATGAGGACCCAGAGCTGCCGCAGGGAGTGTGAGCCTGCTGTCCTTGTGGGTGCTTGTTACAGGCCCCTGCTAAATGCCGGGCACCAGGCTGGGCATGTGTGGTCTGGCCCCGGCCCTTTAAGAGCCTGTCAGCTGTGTCAGAGGCCACACAGCCAGGCATGGTGCCGCCTGTCCTAAGAGTTTTTGCCCAGGGCTTCAGCCACCAGCCCTTTGGATGGCCTGCAAGATGGTGATATCTGTCAGCGCAAAAATTCTGCTGCAGCTAATACATAAAAGTGGACCTGGAGGGCCAGGAGCAAGCATCCAGGAGCAGGTGCTCAAGGTACCAGCCCAGAAAGAGAGTTAAGTCGGGGTGGCGGGTGGGAGAGCAAGCAAGTGGCAAGGACCCAGAGGCCGGGACACAGCTGGGGCTGCCAACCTCTGCTGGTTTGGGAAACAGCCCTTCCTAGGCATGAGCACTT